TCCTCCTCAAGCACTAGAGCTCTCTGTCAGGGAAGACAGAGAGAGGCTATTACTTAAAAATTGAGACTCCTCAAATAACCAGACTGTAAGCCTCATTCAGATCTACTTCAAAGGCACTGCAACAAATTATTGTGCTGTAGATACTAGAAAGAAGCTGCTACTGATTATGGAAATTTTAACAGCAATGACTAAAAGTAAATTGAATGCCTTAAACACCAATTTTAGGAAGGTACAAGGAATATGAAACAGTCTGAGGGCTGCTCCTTTTTCTGTCAGGTTGCTGTCTTTCTTGTGAGGTACATTAAGAGAGTGAAAACCTGCTGACCAGCACTTGGCCCAACAGTCCAAAGGGAAGCTGTGGAGGGAAACCCTCAGCCACAGCAGATGGAAGAGCATCATAGCAGAAAGAAGTATGCTACTCTTCCCGCTCTGCTGAGAAACGGGTAACACCCAAGATAATTACAGAATCTTTCCTCTGAACACAGAATTTTCTTAGTATAAACCAATGACAAAACAGAAAGCAACTACTGCTGCAACATGACAGTTAAGTCAAAAGAATCCTCTTGCTAATCGAAGCAACCAGAAGATGTATCATCCTCAGCTGCTCTCAATGCAGTGCTATAAATTCAAGCTCCACAGCAGAACTTGTGAAAAACTGCAGGGAGGCCAAAAACAAAACAATGGTTTCAATACCACCAGACCAGTAGGTTTTGTTCCTATCACCAAGCATCCCTTTATTTTTATTACCTGCTTGCTTGCTCATTTTTTGAGACAGGGTCTCTCTGTGCAGTTCAGGCTAGCCTTGAGCTCACTGTCATCCTCCTGCCTCAGCTCCTGAGTGGGCTGCTAGGATTACACCATGCCTAGCCCAACCATTTACAGACAAATGCCAAGGTCATCTTCATTTCCAGAATCAAGCAGATCAGCAAAAGCTGCACACACATACAAAAATGTCTTGATATGTTATGCCCATGTGATCAAATGCAACAAAAGCTTTTAAACAACAGAAAGCAAAAAAAAAAAAAAAGCCTACTATCATGTCTACAACACAGCACAATCTGATGCCACTCTTTATGACCATAAAATCTATCCCAGTAGAAGGAACGATATACATATAGAGATACATTCTAGAACAGCAGTAAGCTGCTATCTGAGAAGTCATGAAATATTACTGTGTAATGTGTAGAGAAAGATATGGTGTGTTTTGAGCAAGAGGAAAAAGAAGGCAAATGCTGCTATAAAAACTGAATGGGAGGGCCGGGGGTTTACCTTAGTGGCACTGCATCTGTCTTGCAAGAGCCAAATCCTGAGTTCAGTCCCTAGTACCAAAAAAAGAAAAAACTTTATGGGAGCTAGGCATGGCAGCACACAGCTCTAACTCCAGCCCTCTAGGAGGCTGAAGCAGCAGAACCTAGAGCTCAGGTCCAGCCTGGGCACCTTAGCAACCTAGAAAAACCATCTCAAAATTGAAAAGGGTTGTGAATATAGCTCAGTGCAAAGGGTCTGAGTTCAATCCCCAGTACTGGGAAAAAACAAAACAAAACACTACAAACACCTAAATGGGTGAGAGATGAAGTTCCACAGCAAAGCCAGTGGCCAGGAGACAGCCTGTGCGAAAGAATGGGCTCGACCCTGACCCTGCAAGGAACTGTGCCATCAGGGTACAACCAAGAACTGAGAGTGCAGGACCATGACCTGCTCCAAAGTGATTTTAATCAGCTCAGCCCAGAGGCCTCTCCATTCACACCCAGCTGCTGCTGCTCCAAGTCCTCACCTCGCCACAGGAAAGTGCTGCGTTTCCACATGTAAAGGTGGTTCACCATCACCGGAGCCCAAGCTGACTTCAACAGAATACTGAAATCTTCTTTCTACACTACAGAAACCTCTTTATCTTATTGTTGCCCAGCTTACTATGCTCCAGTCAATGAGAATCATGTAACCCATGTGGGAATCGTCCTTCAGAAAAGAAAGGAGTGAACATGTGGCTAGAAAGTTTCAGAACAAGAAGGCTGCAGGCAAGGACTGTGCACTGGATATAATATTGCCTCTTCCCTGATATGGACACATGTGGGTATCCAACAGCTTCACCTTCAAGATTACCTAGGACTAATTTATGCTAGAAAAACATACAAATTTAAAAGCATTCTTATGTCAAGTGTGATGGTGCACAACTATAATCCTAGCAACTCAGGAGGCTGAGGCAGGAGGATCCTGCCAATTGGGTGCTAGCCTGAACTACATAGTTCAAAAGCAGCCTGAACTGAATAGTGAGACCCTGTCTCAAAAAACAAAATAAAACAAAACCAAAAAAACATCATTTTTAAAAAATGCTTCCTTTCTCAATCTGTTTTGTCCCTGCCCTTCTTCCACCCCAAATTTTCAGCAGTGGACACAGAATCATTCTCTGTGCCAGTTGTGCCATGGAGTGTTTGGTTTAGAAAGGTACATGTGAATGAAAAAAGCCTTTAAAAATATACAGTGTGAGCAAAAGACAGAAAAAAAAAAAAAACCAAGGTTGCTTCTGTCCCATTAAGATTGACAGTGAAGAAAACAAAAGACCCTGGGAGAGGATGACTGTAAAAGGAGGAGACATAGCAAAGGGGGAGAGATAGAATCGTGTGATTAAAGACAATGCAGAGTGCTCGCTTTGGCAGCACATATACTAAAAAACCAAGCAGAATACTGCGGTCCAATCACCCCACGGAGTGCCTCTTGCAGCATAAAGGAAAACCAGCTTTATCCACCTGCTGTTGTGCTGGGAAATTTATGTAAGTTCATTGTCTCCAAATTTAGACATATAAACTAACCATAAATGAGTGCGTTTTTTAAAACAAAGTAGCTAGACAATAAAAAATGTTTCCAAAGTGGGAGAAACTTAGAATGTAATGAGGTATTACTGAACAAAGCCATCTGTATGTTCTTGGGACTTCAAAATGTCAAAGCAGTAACATTTATCTGTGTGTGGAAAATTTTTCCTCTGAGACCAGAAAGCGCTCAAATAAAATGGCTACTACTCAGTTTTCACACTTTGCACATCCCTCAAGTATGCTTTTGTCCTTTTTCTTAAGAGACCTTATGGCAGGAACATTCCATAGCTTTCCATCTGCAATCAGCTGTATCCCTGCGAGCAGCAGTCCAACCAGTTTGCTAGCACAGCAGCCTCTTAATGGGGCTCACATGTGTAGCTGTGCTTTCTGCAACAATGGTATTTTCAAAATGTAGCTGGGCACAGTGTTGCATGCCTGTCACTGCAGCACTTGAGAGGCTGAGGCAGGAGGATCACTGTGAATTCAAGGCCACCCTGGACTACATAGTGAGACCCTGTCCCCCCAAAAGAACTAAACAAAACAAAAATCCAGGGGCAAGTCTCTTATATAAAATACAATAGTCCTCACATCATGAGTTACTTTCCAAGAACAGACACCCTTAAAAAAAAATCAAAATGTCCCCAAATCCTTTGAACCATGGTAAAGTTTACCTTAAATACTTTCCTTTTCCAAACCTGATCTAATGAGGGTTTTTCTTTGTAAACTAACATAAATTTAAAAGTGACAAATTTCTCCTGCTGAAATTTTACATTCAGAGATACAATGTGTTACAGGCAGATGGTGTGAAGGCAAAGTACCATTACCTAGTCCTAACACCATTAACAAGCTAAAATTCTGAATTTTCCCCAAGCATACTGGATATTTTGTTAAAATCCTACTCACTCTTCAAAGTCCTGCTTAAACACCATTTCACGAACGGCTCTTTAGATTTGATCTTTGTCAATTCACATTTGCACTTTTTTTTTGGTACTGGAGATCGAACTCAGGACCTTACAGCCCAGGTTCAATACTTTTTAAAACCAGCTTTATTCAGATATAATTTATATACCATAATGTTCACTCATTTAAAGTGTATAGTTCAATACTGATTTTTGTGTCACTTTTTCTTTGGCAATTATTCATGGGATATACACTAATTTATAGTCATACAAGCACAACTGATAAAGGTAAAATATAAGGATATAGATGTTTAGACTCTTACTTTTTTTGAGACAGCTTTGCTCTGCTACACAGGCTGAACTCAAACGCCTGGGCTTAAACACCTGCCTCAGGCTCCTGACTAACAAGAACTACAGGCATGTGCTACGGGCATGTGCCACTATGCCCAGCACTTGAGTCATTTTTAGAGACTTGATTGTTACAAGCCCTATCAAGTTCAGAGGTGGGTACAGGCAACTGGACATACAAAGGTGCACATGAGCCACACTGAAATGCAGACTGCAGAATCTAGCAGGCTTCCCTAAGGATCACACATTTCCCCGGTAGACTTCTCCACACAGAACACTGGCAAGGGGCACAGAGGCAGACGCAGTCAGAATGGGCACTGCAGCAGTAATCTGGGTCTGAAAAATCAATGACTCTGCTTTATTGCAAAGATACAGGTTTAAAAGTGGCACAGCCCACTTCTATTTTAAATAAGAATTTGTCTGCAGAACCTTAGTAAGCAATATGGTAGTGCAAGTACAGAAGAAACAGGCCTAAGTCACTTTTACCTAGACAATTCTACAGAGAAACAAGCCAGAAGCAACGACTGGTCATTTTCACACTGATCTGTAAGTTTACTATTTCAACTCAGCCACTGTAAGGTAGAAGTTTTAATACCATCTCAGCAGGCTCAACTGCTATTGAAGATCAGGAAAAAACAATGACTCTCGAGCCTTGGGTATACACCACACCAGAATTCAGTAAAAATCATTGCTCACATCTTTACTGTCATTAAGATGTCAACTTAATGAGCAATATCAGAAGTAGCTAAATTAATTTGGTTCTTCGCAGTTTTTGGTTTGTAAAGAGAGAAACAAGCACTCCACACTGAAGAACCACAGCAAACACTTGAAAGCAGGAAGCACTCAATGCAGCCTCCAGAATGACAAAGTTCAGAGCTTTAATTACACAGCGTTCACTTCTGATCACAGCAAGAGGCAGAGGGGAGAGAAAGCAGCCTGTACTCACTGGTCGAGCTGCCCTGCATCTGAATGATGCACTTGGACTCCTTGCTGGTCTCCCGGGAATTGAAGGGCCGCACCCGGACAGCCACCTTCACCGAGGCTCCGGACATCCTGAAGGCCTTGAGATATGTACGCAACCCAGAAATGAGGGCTCAGATCTTCTTTTGAAGTTATATGGTTTCCTTTGAAAAGAGAGTTCCACACAAGGCAGTCAGAATAAAGGAGACACAGGCCAACATAAGCATAAAAGGCTGCTACCTTACATTCTAGTTGTTTCCATTTCTGAAATCCTCATCTTTTTCTCTTCTGAAAACTGTGTATTCCCAGCAGTAAATTAACAAATGATAAGGACTGAAATTTGTTTTCCTATTCCATTAGCACCTTCTCATTCCTAAAAAGTCCCTAACTTTATTATTAATAATTTTTAGAACTGCAGAATAATAGGCATTTATCTTGTTTTCTGTGTTTCTAGCCCACTTTTCAGTAATATATTAAAAACATAAAGGGCCAGGGACCTTACTCAGGGGCACCACAACTGCCTTCTAAACGCAAGGTCCTGAATTCAATCCCCGGCACCGCAACAAAACAAAACAAAAAAAACAAACATAAAATATTTTTTGGTGTTTGTTTGAGGCAGAGTCTCAATGTAGTGCAGGCTGGCCTTGAACTCACAGCAACCACCCTGCCTCAGTCTCCCAAGCGTTTGGATTACAGGTATGCACCACCAAGCCCAGCTTCCGTTGAGAAAATTTCTGAAACAGGAACTTTCCACCTGCAAACTACTTATTACCTTCCTTTAAAGAAATGCACTGAACTTTCTAGGCTTTAATTATAATTTGAAACATGTGGTTATACCATGCACAGTTAAAGAGCAAAGGAGAGAGCAGTTCTATCCAGCTCAGTTAACCACTCAGTGAGTCCCCTTAGCTTTGGAGATACTGGTATCTTGCACCTCCCTGCAAAAGCACAGAAGCTGCCCAGACTCAAGCCTATCTCCCGCCTTGCCAGTGACCCCTAACAGAATCGAATTATACATCAAAGAAGCCACAAGAAAAATGCTAACATTTTCAGAGGAATACTTTCCCTCCCAAAAGAATAAAACTTTTACCACTCAGAGGAAAAAAATCCACAAGAAACAACTGATCTCTCTTGTCAGGAAGAAATCCATTACACAAAGAACCAAGCAAAAGAAAAGTCTAAAAAAAGGAAAGTATGTGTCCAATTATCAGGAAAGACAGGCAGAATAAACTGACAAGATTTTTTTCCACATAATTAAGCAGAGATTAAAAACCTCTGGCAGTTCAACACTACCAATGCTTTCCCCAGGAAGAGGCAAACACAAACAAACCAACAAACAAAAAATTCCAAAAGCCACTTTCTACCTCCTCACCCTATCAAGTTTCCCTTTTGAGGGCCAGGGATTTAGCTCAGTGGTTCCTGCTAGTCCCGAGTTCAATCCCCAATATCCCCGCCCCCAAAAAAAGTTTCCCTTTTTTTCTTCCCCCAGTACTGGGCTGCATCTCCCCCACTAAAAGGTGGGTCTCACTAAAAGTTGCCCAGGCAGGGTTTGAATTTGGCTTCCCAAGGGCTGGGATTACAGGCATGCACCAACACAGCCAGCTCCAGCAGTATCACAATTTCCTGCTTTTCAGGGTATCTCTACTGTCACCCTCTCACACCACACCAGACTACTCAGTGAGCTCCTGTCTCGTGTGCTAGCACTCAGAAGAGGACCTGGTATATCTGGTAAAGAAGTGAACTGTACCGTCTACCTGCAAGAGTTATCTTTTTTTATCTTATTTTTTGGTTCTTTGAGACAGGGTCTCACTATGTAGTTCAGGCTGGCTTTGAACTCCCTACATATTCCTGGCCAGCCTCCAACTCACTGCAATCCTCCTGCCTCAGCCTCCTAAATGCTGGGATTACAGATGTGTGCCACATCTGGCAAGAATTATCTATTCAAATCAGGTGCTGTGGTGCACACCTGTAATCCCAGCACTCAGGAGGGTGAGGCAGAAGGATTGTCACAAGTTTGAGGCCTACCTGAGTTACATAGTTCAGGACCAGCCTGAACTACAAAGGGAGACCTTGGGCTGGGGATGTAGCTCAGCAGTTCCACAGCCTGCCTCGCAAGTGCAAGGACTGGGTTTGATCCCTAGTACCAAAAAAAAAAGAAAATACAAAGGGAGACCTTGCATCAAAAAACAAAAAACAGTGAGACCCTGTCTCAAAAAAAAAAAAAGAAAAAAATTATCTATTTAAATTCTTTGCCTAGATTGCTGATTGTTTTTGCTTCAAATAGTTATAATTTTTATATTAATCTTTATATAAATGCACCAATGTTTTTTCCGTTTCCCATTTTACATTTAATTGATAGCTCTTTATTTAATATGCCACATATTTTTACGATCACTTATTAAATAACATTTAAGAGTTATTAAATATCCCAGGCTGGGCGTGGTGGCGCACACCTGTAACCCCAGCACTTGGGAGGCCGAGGCAGGAGTTCGAGACCAGCCTGGACTACATAGTGAGTTCTAGGTCAGTCTCAACTATATAGTGAGACCCTGTCTCAAAAACCAAAAAAAAAAAAAAATAAGTTATTAAACATCCCAATTAATGTAGTATCTCATATTCACTAGTTGCATACTATGCACAAGAAAATTCATAAAGCATTCAGAAAAAGGAAAACAAAATACATGTCAATCCCCTCCAGTTCTAGTTCTCTTTGATACATCATCATTCTCTCTCTCACCTTTCATCGCATCCATAAACACATTATCTTCTCCCCCAACGAGCAATCTGCCAAATTTCCCAGGCCCCACATATAAGACTGGGGGTCATCTTTGTCTCCTTCTCTCCGAATCCTTGTATCAGTATTAACATAATTCATAAAAACAGTATGAAAACTTTTCAGACATAAATTTGCAATGATATATCCCCCGTTCTCACTGCCATCACCCTAATCCATATCCTTACTACCTCCTGCCTAGAATATTTAAAACGAATCAACTGTTCTTTGAGCTTTTATTCTGATTCAACAGCCCTTTAACTGGGTCACACAAAACAGAATTACACAGGGGTCTTTTGAAATGCAAATGAGACTAGACTTCCCTGTCCAATACTCAACTGGGTTTAAGACAGACCCTGGTCTTAGCCTGGCACTTCATTTTTAATTTTTCAGAGAGTTGGTTGCAATCTTGGTTGAGAAGCACAGCTTTAGGCCACTGCTTTACCTGCTGCAAGATCAACCTTTCTAAAACATAACCTCTCTTCTCTCAGAAAAGCCTTCTTTTCCCAGCACGTATCAGACCTCAGTTCCCATCCTGTGTCCGGCCAGGTTCCTTCACACCCTGCTGGTCCTGTGGCAGCTCCTGTCTATTCCTCTTCTGTCATGGGCACACAGGTTTCTGCTTTCTCCCATGCAGCTGCCCAGCTCCAGTCTCCCCTTTTCCCCAAGGCTTCCCAAAACATTCCAGGAACCAATGGCATTTCCAAGACACTTACAGGCTCCCTGCTGCAAAGCACGACTATCATTTCACACAAGTGCATTCCGTCTATCCCTGCTCTTTAACAGCTTCCCAAAGTAAAATCCTGTTCCTTCGAAAATCTCCTTGGACCTATGCTCCTTGAAAAAATGGCAAAATTCAACTATGGCCAAGAAATTTCAAGATGATCCTAGGGCATTTTTAGCATGCTGAAAAGCAAAAGTAAGCCAAAAATAAATGGGACCACAACAAAACAAAACAGGTGTGGCTTGAAGGAGCTCCTACTGACCAAAATAATTATAGGATTCAAAAACACAAAAACTGTAAATGGACTGAAAAGCACCAAATATATTATTATATATAGAGAGAGAGAGAGAGAGAGAGAGAGAGAGAGAGACCTCCTACTTCATTCCCATCTACTCCATCTGTATACTACATAGCACTGTCAGATTCGTCCTCCTGACTTTATGATAACACCTTAGAAAATCTCAGTATTCTGGGATGGGGAGAGGGCACTTAACTTGCCTAGCACCCGAGGCCTTGTATTGATCCCCAGCACACAAAAGAAAATCAATATTCTGAAAACTAGCAAATAAAACAAAAGACATCCAATCTGTACAACTTACATAAAATATCCAAGGATAATCAGTCAATGACAGCAGATTCTTCTTTAGAGTAGAAATTCTAGCTAATAAATGCAGAAGCAATTACTTTGAATGCCATGTTTTTCTAGTCCTACTGATGTAAAGGCTTTCTGCCAAAACTGTCACTGGCTGCTAAAATGCACCACATGAAAGGCTGGTTGCTGGGGGAATATTACAAGTTAAGCCAAGAACACCTGAGCCAAATGATCAGCCTTGAGCCTTCATGTGCTACACAGGAAATGCACAGCGCCACCTGGGAAATTATTCTTGCCCCACTCCAAAAAGAAAGACAAGAAAAGAGCCTTAGATCCAACAACCAATCTATAGGACATATGGAGAGCAAGGAGGCAATTCAAATGACATATCAAAGTTGAAATTAGCCAAATGCAGACCACAGAAAAATCTACAGAACAAGTCACCCAGTCTCTTCAAATCAACGTGTAAGTGAAGAGAGAGGAGTTATAAAAGAGATATGTTATTTATTAACCAAATAAAACAATTTTCAAACAAGAAACTCTAAAAATACATATTTTAGAAAATCAGGTATAGAAGATTTCCAAAATGTTAATAGTAAGTGAATATTGTACTTAATTTTTTTGGCGGAGGAGCGGGGTACTGGCAATCAAACTCTGGACCTAGTTCTTGTGAGGCAGGCAGCAGCACCACTGAGGTAAATCTCCAGCCCTGTACTTAATTTTTTATAAAAAATAAATTTTCCTTTTTGTATTCTACCTAGCACCTACAAAAACGTTGAATACCCTGACTTACAAACAAGACAACAAAGGCTGAACTAACTTTATTCATTTGAAACCATGAACCAAAACACAAATATCTCTACTAGCTAACGTCCTGTACATGCATTTTTCAACAGAATGCTTGATTCCTCTACCTAGCTTTCTTGCCAGCATTTCACTCAGCCTCACACACCAAAGCCAAAATTGCTTCCCCCAAACAATACCAGCTCTCTCGCCTCTTTTCTGTTTAACGTTCCCACCACTCTGTTCCCACCGGCTGAAAAGCTTGCTCCTCCATCCATCTCATCAGCTTCCA